TCCCCTCCACATTTCACACCACAGTTGTTTACCTAAGATTCTGTTGTGTTTGGTTTTTGTGTGCCACCCCATGATTTGTAGTGCCTATATCTGTTCACCCCTATGAAAACCCCTTGGTCCCCAAGTTGGCTGGGTTTTGGCATTTTTCCAGCCGACTTCCTATTCGTTTTATAGGGATTTTTAACGCGGATTTTTTGCAAATGTTGTAAAAACTGTACAATGAATCGCTAACTAATAGTCATAGCAGACCATTCCTGATTGAGCCACACGTTTTCATAGATAATATGACGAGTTTTCTCAAAGCTGCAGGACGAGTTATTTGCTGAAAATCGTTTCGGAAGAATCTCTAAAATAAGCCCAAGGAGTAGTAACGAGTGAGCTTTACAGGAGAATGTCTCACAGCTGTCTATGACCTGAAGCTGAGGAGAGGTTGTGTGATGCAACAAGACGATCAACCAAAGCGAACAAGTAAACAGAACAGTTCAAAGAGAAGATTCATGTTCTGGATTGGTCCTGTGAGTCCTGCACCCAATTGAGATGCTGTTCCATGACCTGAAGAGAACTGTTCAGTGAAGACATCCCAGAAATACTGATGGACTTAAAAGTGTTTTGTGAGGAGGAACGCTCACCAGCAGCTACAAGAAACATCTGCTGGAGCCTGTTGCTGCTAAAGGAGGGTCTACGAGTTACTAAATACACTTTGTTCATGTAGTTTTTTCTGCACTGTGAATGATTGCTCAGTGTGTTCAATAAAGACATGAAACCTACAGCTGTTTATGTGTCATTAGTTTAGTCAGATTGTCCAGAATTTGAACTCGGGTGAAGCTCAGACCACATTTTGAGTCATCAGTTCAGTAATCCTGGTTATTCCAAAGATTTCAGCAACTTTTTCCCGCAATTGTGAAGTAACACAGACTCCTTTCTGTTGACTAATCCACAGCAGCNTAACACAGACTCCTTTCTGTTGACTAATCCACAGCAGCCGACGGCAACCGAGAAACAGAAGCAACTTAACTCAGCTGTAAATAATTTTAATACAGTCGTGAATCGATAATCCGACCCTTTACAATCCAAAAACCTTGCTGTCCGACAGGTTTTTAGCAACAGAACCCATTAAAAACAGCCTTAACATATCGACAGCCTTGGATTCCGACTCCGACGTGACATTTTATGTCACAAATAAGGACAACGGTGTATTATCTGATTTAACAATCTCACAGATTGGCGAAGTTCAGACTGCAGGACTTAATGCTCATTTCGGATTTTTTTGTGAAATCCGATTTTTTTGCGAGTTCGTTCACATTTCCAGATAAATGTGACTTATATGTGATCTGCTGTGTGAACTTCATATGACCCAGAAGTGTCCCGCATGCGCAGAAGAGGACACGACGACGTCACACGCAGCGAGCAGAAGTAAACATGGATGGTAACGGTGGAGCGTATCCGCCACTCCCCTGCCACCACCGCCGATGGTCCAAACGAAACTGTGACCGCTAACTAAACTAGCATCAGCAGCCAAGTACTGCCTGTGCATTCCGGCCACTTCCACCACGCTGGAGCGCTCCGACGGGGTGGAAGTGGCCAGAACTTGCACAAGCGCACCGCTTAATTAGGCGTGAAATCCAGCGATGCGTAGTGTTCTAACAATACACAAGGTATTATAACATCTATAAACAATAAATATTAACAACAAATGAGCCTTCCAGCATCAAGCCCTCCTTGTTTCTCGACCTCCGTCTTGACAATCCGACAGCCTTGCTCTCCGACATAAAAGAAGGTTTTACATTTAGTGTCGGATTATCGAGTCACGACTTTATTTTCACTTGTAACCATCAGAATATGTCAGAATGTCTTTTTTGAAATTTTGTCATATTACACTTTCTATAAGGGCACTCAGGCTGCTGATGAGCTGGATTTACTATATTCTGTTGCCTTTTACTAATTTCTCTCTTTTTTTTTTTAATGCAGTAAGTTTGATTCACACTTATGCATTGGAACACTGAACTAGCAACAGGTTCACAAGTGTCCAAAAGTCATCGATGCACGTGAAAAAAAGAAGGCTGGATCCCCCTGAAGAGGTACTGCAGCACAAATCGTTGATAACCTTGATCCAAGTTATGGCAGAAAAGCACCATAAACCACAGTGCTGCAACTTATAATTACATCTGCTTGATAATCGTACCGTAATTTGACATCACAAAGACGAACAGCCGGCTCCTTTTTAATGCACTTGTTTTTATTGGACTACATGCATCTAAACACCACTTACATTAGTGTATAATTGATGCAGTAACCTCTACATGTGCAGAGACAGTTACAGAAATAAAACAGCGCAGGATACCGTCAGTCTAGACATTGAAACTACTATGTGACACAGTAGAATGGTACAACAAATATTACCGGGAAAATCTGAGAAACTTCAATCAGGAACAAGGGGGAAGGAGGGAGATAATAGAGAAACGCTTATGGATTCACTAATAAGTCATTTCAGTTCAAAAATACCGTTTGTGTCGTTCGTTTTTTTTTGTCAGAGGTGATATATTTGTGTGACTGATTTCCCAACAAGTCTTTCTGAAGTTACTTCAATGGCATGAGAGTGCAGTTTTTTAAAACTCCAAATGACAAAGGCACAGAACAAAAGACATCCACAGTTCAAATGAAATTTATAACAACAATTAAGACAACGAATTGTACGTAAATCTTCTCATTGAAACACAGCAACATACAGAATAGGACAATATTAGCTTATATGTCTTAAGACAAGATTTGGCACAGCAACTATATTTTACATTCACACAAAAGCCATACCTTACATGATATGTTCGTATGAGGAGGTAATGTGATGTCATATAAATAGTTCTTTTCTTTTTTTTACATAAACAGCTACTATATACGAGATAAAATATCCGTTTTATTGCCAGAATGATTCTCACTGCATCATACTTTCCCCTCTTGTGATATAGCTTTGATAAAGTTCAAGATAAAAAGAGCAAGAAAAAATATAGAGCATTTTGTAAAACCTGTCGGATTTGACAAGCGTTCGTCAAAGAGAAATCAATCAGAAAAGTTAATGTAAGTGCATGGTCTTAATACACGCGATATCTGAACGTCCAGTCAACCTGGAAATTAAACATCAGAAACCTGATCTTTTTTTTTTTTTGTATATTTCTTGTGTTTTTTTGTTTGTTTTTATACAAAACATTATGCTTATATTCAATAATAAAATCACGTAGATTTAATGTAATCACTTATTCAAGTAAGAAAATATAACCATGTCATACTTTAAACAATATGTTGTTTCGGTGGTCCATGTAAAAGCCAGAAAACAACATTTGTCATGATATGTTAAATCATTGTTCACAGCATACTGCAAAGTGATATTTTCTGCACATCCACAAAAAGAAAAATCGACATTTACGTGAAAATGTCAAATACTGAGATCTTTTTTTTTTCGTTTTTTGTTTTTTTTGCAATGATCACTTTACAAATTGCATAATTATTTGAACACATACATCAGAATTCAAAAAGTTGATCTCACACACATAGAACACACATTTATTTCTAATTGAATGTACATGCAAGTGTGCCGTGTGAATTTACTTCATACTCGTTTGCTATAAATATTACAGTTAATACGTACTTTTGTCTAAACTAAACTTTTTCATTGCCTCGCCGCTGGTAGCTTACGGCCACTCGCTCGACTCGACTCGGTGTGACTCGTGTCTGCTTTAGATGCACAGATCCGAAATATGCAGCAACACTGTGCACGTATCGCAGGCAAGGCTGAATATAAACCAAGTGTGTGGAGGTTAAAGAGATCGATGTTTATCTCTGAGTCTGGGTTTCTTACACAAACACCCGCTCCTGTTTGATTTATTTATTTTTTTTCCTTCAAGAGATTTTCTGATTCCGTTTCGTGTCACGCTTTTAATTTGAAGTTCACCGTTCACTTCAGTTTTAATTCCTGAACCTACAGCTGTTCGCATTTCAGCTGACAAATCATCTATTTGATTTAGAAAAAGCAATCCCGGGCCGCTCAGCCAAGAGGGCTCCTTCTGAGCTTTAAAACAAAGTAATTAATTCGGAGAAAAACCGTGACATCTTTTTAAATGCACTGTGGGATTTTTTATTTTTTTGACTGGACTACAAGGATCACAGCCTGAGTCGGCCGATCCCTGCTCTTTGCAGCAGTGCTTTTCCTGTGCTTGTTCACCAGTTTATTCCAATTATTGGGTTCCTTGTACTTGTTACTGTAGAAAATTCGGACAAGAAAGTTTTTATTCTCTTCACGTCCATTCTTTTAAATGTCATGTGCCTTCAGTTCGAGTCAAGCTGAGCTGGGAATTGTGAAGTGAAATGTGTTTCAATTAGTCGCACCTGATATAAAGATCAGCGGACTTCACAGACTGATTGGAGAAGAGAAAGTGCGCAGGTGTAATTAGTAGAAATGGCAACATGAGTACAATGACGGACTTAACATGCTGATATTTTAGCTCGAATGATCCGCCTAATAGCTGCTGGGACAAAATAATCAAAACTGTCAGCGACCAGAAACGTCTGCACCAAAGCTACACATCCGTCATAGCGTTCAAAGTTGCGGCGCCGCCCTCAGAGCCATCAGCAGTCCAGCCTCGTGCTCTGAATTAGCAGAGCGACGCTGGTAAGATTCACATCACAGATGGTGCTGGTTTAGCAAAGTCTTAAACTGGATGGGATGTGTGGTTGTACTTCTATCCCCACGCTGCGGTAAACGGACACAAAAGAGACACAGTATGCAGGGCGCAGCGGCGGCGGTGCGTCCTGTCGCCGAACAAAACGTCGCCCGCTTTTGTATTGCTTCGTTACTGTCGTTATTTGGTGCGTTCCAAATGGCGGAAACAACATCACATGTATGGACACAGCACGGCTATTGTTGCAGCACATATTGGACACTGAAATATTTGAATACTGGAGTCTGCTTTCCTGTCTAATTACTTAGAAAACATCAAAAACATTTGAATCAGTGAGATGCTCCTGGTTACTAATCAGCCCTTGAAATGCCTTTCTTTCTCTGTGTCACCGTTGTGTGTGTGATGATTAGCGGCCGTAGAGAACCACTGCATGACATCATTTCATCCAGAGAAGCTGTGAGAGCATCGTTATTAGTGTCGACTGTGATTAAAACAAACCGAAAAAAAAGAAGTATTTTGGTTTACATTTGCTTTTTTTTTCCCAGTCCCTTGTCCTTGCATCCCTTTGTAACCAGCCGGATATTTACTTCATCCCTCTGCGGAGCATTTGATTGGCTGCGATGAGCATGACGCTGATGATGAATGCGATAGCGAAGGCACAAATCAGGCTTTTCCGCACACACGTGTGCTTCTCCTGTTGCGTCGGACTCGCTGCGGAAAGATTTAAGGGAAAGTTAGCGCACATGAGCTGTCAGCAGAGCAATGCGTGAGGTCAGATCTGTGAAACGACACCTACTGTCGATGTCCACGTGGGACTCTGGGCTGTTCAGGTGGTTCTCCTCGGTCATGATGATGTTCTCAATGTCCTTCATAGTGAGGTGGTCACGAAAGGTATCGTAAAGGAGTCTCTTGAGCTCGTCCACCGTCAGTTTCTGCATGTCGCACTGAGGGCACAGACAAGAGCAGGAAAAGGTCTGATGAGCAAAAGGAAAGCTTCTGCCTTGATGCCCCTCAGTGAGCTTCATCAAAATCAGACCCTGAAATGATTCATTTGATTATGTAACGAAAAGCACAGAATGAAGTTAATGTCTAAATGAAATATAATGTAAATGTGAGAGTAGGGTAGTTTGTCAAAGC